GCCAAAAAGGAGCCCATAGGGGGGCCAAGCGGCTGCGGCGTTTGTTCAACGCTGGGGGTCTGCGCTGCCCCTCCGCCCGCTCCCTGGCTCAGAAATCTCCTCCTGCGCAACAGCAGCCGGCTTTGGGGAGAAAAAGAGGGTTTTGTTCAGCCTCCTTTCGCTCGCTCTTCATGGATGAGGGCCACCCTCCAGCCTGTCACCACTAGATGGCAATCTGTGACCGTGGTGGGTGGCTCCCTGGGTGCTGGGGTGCCCTGGGCACCCAGGGGTGGCATTTCGGGGCAGAGCAGACACATCCCATGACAGAGCATCGCTGCTGCTCCTCACCTCCGTGGCTCCCATTTCCTAAGCTGTGCTGGGGGCTTTTGTAGCCATTAAGAGCTTTTTTAATAACTTTTACACATTTTTCCTCACAGCCTGTGGCGGTAGGGAGTCCCCCATGTGACTGGCGACACCGATAGAAAAACCACCTGAGGAGATGATGGAAAAGCCGCGCGTGTTTGTGTGCGTCCCCGACGCTGCAGGTGTGTTAATGCAAGTCACGAATTGTTAGGGGACAAGCAGGGACGAGTTGACCTCAAAGCCTGAGCAGCAACATGAGCCGGGCGGTGTGTGGTAGCTATAAACAGCCGCTCACCCCAAACGGGCGCCTCGCTGTTGTTTGTACACACAGGGAGATGGAGCCGGGCCCTCGGGGGGGGATTTTGGGGAGTGTTTGGCTCCCAGAAAGAAGCCCCTGGGTTTGACAGCCAGGCTGGGACCGTTGTCCTGGCTCATGCCGCTGCCTGGGGCTTCCTGGGGGGCGATGGGTGCGGGTGGGCGAGGGGAGGAGAAGGAGGATTTGGTGACCTTCCAGGTGGGCTGGCGGCCGAACAGCTGAGGGAAAGGGAATGGCTCAGAAAGAGAGCGGCGGGGAAGAAATGAGTCACCCCAGGCTGGAAATAAACGGGGCCGTGGGCACCGGAGGGGAGCCAGGGCGGCTCCTCACCCGTGTTTTTGTCGGGAAGGAGGAATAGCTCAGGGTACCCTTTACCGAGACACCCCTTGGGGCTGGACCCGCAGCCCTTTTCGGGGAAAAGCATCAAGAAAACATTAAAACACGGAGGAGGCAGCAGTCAGGTGTTCTCAATAATTTATCACAAGCTGTATATGCAGAGACAAGCTCCGGCGGAGGGTTGGGGAAGGGAACCTCGCTCCTTGCTCCTGGCGGGGCTCTTGGCACACCGGATCTTCTCCATCAACCCTTGCTGGCTATAAACCGCCGGAGCCAGGTCTCCCCTCCGGAATTTCTCCGGTGGGTGATGGGATGCGTCTCTCCGCGCCGACCCCTCGACACGAGTCTGACCCTGAGGGGGAGCGTTCCCGTCCCCTACCCCACGTCCCACCTTCTTCCCGAATCACCCAAATAATTAATGAGGAAGGGGGGAAAAGGGACCCCCCCCCAACCCCTCAGATCTTGATCTCAGTCCGGAAGGTTTGCTGGACGTGGTCGGCGTGCTTGGCGGGCTGTCGCTGAGCCCGGATGGTCAACGTGCCATCGTCCCCCAGCGAGGATGATACCGAAGTGGGGTCCACATCTTCGGGCAGCTGGCATTTGTGGGTGAAGGTGTTCATGACAGTGCCGTCTGCAGCCAGCTGGGATAAAAAACGGGGGGAAAAAAGGTGATTTTAGGGTGGAGGCAGGACAGGAGCTCATTGTTCCCTGCCCTTGGGTGAGGCTGGCGGTTGTGCCTTGTGTGTGGTGTTAATATTTATCTCCCCGAGGGGACGGGTAGGATGTGGGTGGCATCAGCGGAGGGTGGGGGGGGGAAGAGGGAAGGGGGAACAAAGGTGCTTTTTTTCGGTTCCCACCCCCTGGGAGAGGGGTGATTACAGAGCAAGAGTTTGTTGGGTCTCGTGGGCTTCGCTCCTGCGAAATACGGAGCGAAAAGATGAGGAAATGGTGAATTAAACCCTGCTGGGGATATGGCAGGGATTGTTAGGAAGTCGGGTGGGAGTTGGGGGATCCCCTGGTTGAGGATTTTGGGGGTCCCCCAGGATTTGGGAGGAGCGGGGAAGGGAGGGAGGGAGCGCCCACCTTCTCGGCGTGCACCTCGATCTGGTTGTTGGAAGTAGTGACGATGATGTCCTCGGGGGCGAAGTCACAGACGTCCACCGTGAACTGATAGGTGTTGCCCAAGGTCTTCACCGTGCCGGCGTTGCCAGGTCGAGCTGTCGGAGAGAGGGGGGATCACAGCCACGGTTCGGTGGGGGTTTCCCCCCCCCAAACACTTCTCCCACTGCTCCAATACTTGCCCAAACCCTCCAGGACAGGGATGCCCCAGTGTGGGGGGAAGAGAAGGCATCCCTTGGATAACCCCCCCCAAAAAACTCACCTGGGAACCCCAAGGTCTCACCCCGGGGCCGGACGAAGCTCCCAAAAAGCTCCATGGTGCCGGCGGGTGACGCTGACCGGTGAAAGCTGTGCTCCGATCGGAAAGCAGACGAGGATTTCACGTTCATCCACCGTTTCCCC